GGAAACCGAGGGTCAGGCTCGCAGCCGCTGGGAATACGCTGTGTCACCCCTAGCGAATCGAGCCGCTAGAAATCTTCGGGAAACGAGAATCGACGGCTCCTTTGGAGCGCGCTCGTGCATTTGATTGACACATGCGGTAATTCAGAATGAACGAACGCGACTTGAAACTGAAGGTCACAGCTCCGTCTTCGCGCTGCTCTTGACGGGAGATGAATCGTTATATGAAGGCAGTATTCCAACTTCGCGTCTCCTGTATGAGCGTCCCTCGCTGAATGTACCCTCCAAGTGTTTTGAATCACTGAATGAACCACAACATCCGAAGGCAGGAAGTTCTTCACGTTGGAGACGAAGATCACTCTCATTCTGAAGTCGTTCCCAGTATGTCTTCTGCCGGAGCCATCCGACTTCTGCGGCGTAGCTGTAGTGACTGAATGGATTATACGGCTCTCTCACAAGTCCTCCTAATACTGGTTCCGCTGTGCTATCCGAACGGAAGATTGGAGGAACGACTCCATAAGTGATTGATCGACATATCGGCGCATTTGGAGGGACTGGATCAACCGTACGGATCCCGCTGAAATAGGATCCACGTCGGGATTATGACGCCTGCGGGGAATGAGCATCTGTCAGACTTCCCGCGAGCAGAGCGAGCAAACGTACTCCCGTTTTTTTCAGGCAAGCTTCATCACGCGATATGCAGAAACGGCGAGGTTCTGATTCTAAACATTCAAACTCATCAAAACCCTCGCATGAACGAAGTAAGGGCAGTACTTACCTCTGACCTTTCCACAAGACCTCGGAATGGAGAGGAAAACTTCGGTCGTCATTGTATGCACTTGTGGCAAGCTGTTTTTCCGCATGGACGGGTGGCAAGACCAGCGGCAGGCTACCACTGGCAGGGCTTCCTTCGTCCTCGGATGCAGCATCGGGATTGGACCCATCCATAAGGGATCGCTTTCGGTCCCGTCGCATGATTCGATCATCATCGAACTAGCTCTCTCCAAACATCGCGTCTATGCGATACGCCATGACGGCAGAGAATCTCCACGCACTTGTAATCATCAGCTCCTGTCGATTCAAATTTCATGTCCTCCTCGAATGGTCCGCGATTGCGGCGCGGTAGACACCTCTCAAATCCGGGGAATCGCCACGTGACTAGAATATCGGCAATGAGCTGCTGAAGCCGAGTCCGGCTGTCGGAACCTGCATTCGTCGGCTTCCGACAGCGTGAGACACTACGATTCAATTATTATTGAGCATGAATGAAACGGCTTGAGTTGTTGCATGGCAGAAAATGCTTCTCCATTGCTTTGATCTGGTAGATCCGATTCTCGTTCGCATGAATCAATCCCGGGAACATAATTGCGAGCCTTGTTCCGTACTCCGGAGCGGTGGGATACGATTTGGAAAAGCTGTGCAATCTCTCGCAGAAAGCGACGGATGTCTGCCATGCAAGCAGCCGCCGTGAGGATCCCTTCCCCTATTCCTCAGCCTCCCGATATTCAATCGAGATTCTCGACTCTGCGGAGCTTGAATTGTTGAGGAACACCTGAATCTACTCGAGGCGACTCCTCTGTGTATCTTCTCAGTGAAACATCCGCGGGTATCTTCCCATGAAATCTTCCCAGAGGTGGACCTCAACATCAGACGTGAGGGACCGACGCTTGACAAGCAGCGCTCAATGACTCAGACAAAATTCGGTGAACTTCACACGTAAGAATTCGCCAATTTCGACAGAGGTTTTCAGGTACCCAATCTTTGTGAATAGAAATTCTTGTGTGTCCACCCCAACTCACGTCGCTCCCACCGACTGCTCCCTCGTGGGACGCATATTAATGGGGATCGCCCCCGACTAATTGGAACTGGAAGCACGCAGAAGCCGATAGAATGGAACACCATTTGCCAAGGCGCTAACGGCGACCACGGCCGCCACTGGACATCGCGAGCAAGGAATTTCACTTGCCCATGGGATGAGTTGTTCGAAAAGAGTTTCAAGCCAATACTCAGGTTGGGTGAGCGGGAATTACGATGAATGACCGAGCCGAGGTGTTTTCCTGACGTGACGTGAAACCGAGAGATTCTATTCCTTGGCCAGTCGGCATCGACAGAAAGCGGTCCCGTGCCAGTGGGCTAATCAAATCAGCTCTGCGCGGAAATGCTTGAGCTCCAGCCCGACTGATGAATCATCGACCAGAAGGTATTCTCGGATTGACTTGTGTCGGTGGGATACATCGTCATCTCGCCTATTGAAAGTCTGGCCCGTTTCCGAGCATATGCGCGGTCCTGGCAATCGCCGGGAGTCTCCAACGGCTGAACATTTGAACCATTCGCCGATTTCTGAGAGAGAATTCCAAGGAAATTCTTGTATTGAGAAAAAACCTCGTTTTTGAGTCATCAGGCTCGCATCCATCCCTTGCGGATGCTCTCCGCATCGGAGGACTCCCTCGATGAGCTTTTAAGCATCTATTGCGACCCGGAATCGATAATCTCTGAATAATTGAGCCGCGCAATCCGATATGCGACGTTCCGAACAAATCCCGATACGTAAGCTCGCGTGATCGAGTCGATGGAACTGTTTTCCACGATCCGTGAGGTTGCGTTCCGGAGCTCTGAGCTGTGATTATTGCGGACACGTCCCATCGAGTTCTTTGCTCGTGTTCGCATCGGGAACGAGGTGGAGAGATCTCTTCCAGATTGTGTCAGGAACGCTGGCGTAACATCCAATCTCCGAGAAACTGCTTCTGCTTGTTTCAAACGCAGAGAAACCTTGAGAGTTCCATCTCGAAGGACGTATTTTGTAAGTGTTCTCCCGAAATTCGATGCCTCTGAGCGCCCTAACGGAATACCCCGAGCTATTCGCGTCCAGCGATGCGAAAATCATCTAACGGAATCCGACAGATAGCCGAGGCGCGTCTCGACCTCTGACAGAGACGAACATTCTCGTTTGCCGGTAGACCGGATCACCCGAAAATTATTGATGAACCGAAAAAGGAATTCTAGCGGGATCTCATGGTTTCGATAGAGCTCTCACCTATTCTGAATTCGCATAGAACATCTGCGCCCTCAGGCAGGTGTTCGATAGTAGTCACGTGCCCAGACTATATCGCAATTCCTTCGGCATTACATTGAGGAACTCTCCAGAATTAGGGAGTCAGAACAAGGAGCCCGGCGGGCGACTCCTGGGCGAGGGAACCGCTGATGGGCGGATCGCGTCGGCCACCCGCGGGCTAAGCCCACTGTGTAGGAGAATCCTCTCAACGCATCCGGCGAGTCAGGCGTTTTTCGGGAACTTGGCTGACAAGAAAATCATTAGAGTGTACAGCTGCGATGGCTGTACATGAGTTTCTTTTTTCCGCTCGCGATGGAGATCAGGAGGACGAACAAGAGCCTGGACAAGAATGTGACACACAGACGTCTGACGTCCCTCATCTGGAATCTAGTATCTCTAAAAGAAATGTGGCATCTCGGACCCGCGCGAACCTTTATCAAGCCTCGGAACGTGGAATCTCATTTCTTCCCCATTCGATTGAGGGAACGGGATTTTGAGCTTGGTTTATCCTTTCCAGGCTGCCGGCTATTCGGGTATCCCGTGGGCGTTAACGAGTTCGAATGAAACCTACTGAGGTCACGATTATTAATTTCGAAGCGCAGATGGCTCCCACTGAGCCCGAAAGTCGAATCACTTCGAAGCGCCCTCAGCATATCAGGTTTAGGAAAGCGAAAGTTTTTCTCATGTGATCCTGCACCGGAGACATCAGAGGCTCGTGGCTCGAATCTTCTAAAATGCATGTCTTCTCACCTATCTCTCGAGTCCCACCCAAGCAAACAAAGATCCAGTGATTGATTGAGGGGTGTCGAATGAAGCGAGATTGAATCGCTGAACTTGCGGCTTGAGTTGAGAAATCGTTCTAGGAACGCTTCCAGAATCTGATCGCGCCGCGTCTGGAAGATGAAGCTGTGACCGAAGCCCGGTCCCGCGACCGCATCGTCTGTACACGCGGAAATGACCACCTATGGTTCGAAGCTCATGCCGCATTGTAGGAGCGAGCTGTCATCCGAGGCGATCGCAGTCAGCAATACCGAAAACCCACGCGGGCGCCATTCCAGCTCCTACTCGACTGATCGATCCGAACAATGCAGATGTTTGTTCAATCCAATAGTCGGTCAACATCGCGGGAAGATTTAATCGTTCTTTTCTGACAATCACTTGTATTTTTATGGAGCGAGGTCGAGTGGGCAGAGCCCGTGTACTTGGGATGTTCAAGCCCTAGAGGTAAGCAGATGGGAAAAAAATCAAGTCGGTCCGAGCGACCGTTATTTTGGCCACGACCTGATGTTCCGCGAGATCAGAAAAACGAGACCGAAGCCAGCTTCCAGACCAATACATACCCCAGATCTCGGCCGTCGACTATATTTTTTTTGATCGAGCTGGACATGAAATCAACTACTGGTGGATATGAAAAAAAAACCAAACCGAAAGTCTCGAAGGAGCACAATGCCTATAGCTCCGGTCGGCAAACGGTTGCGCACCGATCTCGAAGCAATTTGAGATTTTCCGCTCATCAGTTTGAGCCCAGGGAGACTCCCTAATTCATGGATCGAGATCAATTTTTAGCCGATCGCCTCTCTTGGAGCGTTTTTCCGATGTCGATGTCCACGGATCTGCTTTAAACAAAAATGCGTACAGTGATATTATTTATGTTGTCCGTGGTGTTGATGGTAATGCCACCTCCTGAGAAATCAAGGCGAAAGGGCGGGGGAGAGGTTTGAAGGACTGGCAACTACTGAATTCACCACTACATTTGCTGGGCTTCACTTTCTAGTGGTCTGCCTCAATGGCGATGTAGCTGTCAACGCAAGCGGTCTTTCGAGGGTTGTTCCAGGATTCCAACGCAGTGTGCTGTGCTCAGGATTTCTCGAGTTTACTGTGCGTTGAATTCCTTCGGATGATTCGCTGATCGACGAAGTTTTCTCGATTTGTGCGGCCGACAACGATCAGGATGCGATCGCCTCTATTCTGGTTCGCGGTCTCAATTGGCTTGTCGCTCAGTGCGCGTAGAGGACCGAAGATCATCGACCTCACGCATTGGTGGGACTCAAAGACTGTGTTTCCTCCGACGAATTTGAAAAATTTCACCATGCATACTTACTTCCGGAAAACTTTGAGTGGAGTCATGTGAGTAAGGGATGGAGAGCTCTCTCAGATCGAGGATAAAGACCTCTCGACATATAAGCGTACAGCGTCATTGGAGTGATGATATTTACCGTTTCCCCCTAAAAAGTCACGCGCACAATGAATATCGGAGAAAGCCCCCTCGAAATGGTTCGTAAAGCCCGAGGTACACCAGTTGACATCTTGAATAGCGTCTTGATCGATCGGGGCAGGAGCGAATTTCAAGCTGCGAACGACGCTTGACAACCAACATCGATCAAAGTTCTGTGTTATCCACAATAATTAAAGTATTCGAAGAGCCGGACAGGTCAAGGTTCTTCGCCGTGGAATATCCAATCGACTCTCATCAAGAAAAACATACCTTCCCACCTCATCCCGCATCTTGTCAATTACAATAGGAGAATCGATCCATGCGGAATTTTCGCTCAAGGAATATATTCAAGTAAATGGAATCACAATCTCGGGGTAGGGAATGCTATGCAGTCAGGATAGAAGCGGCAGAATTTTCTAAAACAACTTGTCCTCGGAGGGAAGTATGAGACGGTCGATTCTCCTCGGAAGATTCCGGGTAGCGGACCAAGTATGGCGGAACGATGATGCTGACCAAAAGCCGACTTCGTCGCAGCTTTTCAGGAATAGCATCAAGTTTTATTGTTTCTATTCGTAGCTGGGTCTCATCTATCTAGGGGCAATTGTGTCATCACTGCGGTTCATCGCAGCGCGGTCTTTTGTGAAGCGTGGCTGCTTGATAATTATTGTCCGTCGGAAGGAACGTGGAATCTGAGCTACAGCGCAAAATGAGCACCTTGACCATTCATCTGACCTCAGCCACTAAGCGCGGTCAAAAGAATGAAGAGTAACCAACTTTCAGACGAATATAAAACAGCTTCACAGTCTGTCGGGGACGGGGGGGGGATTCCCGGTAAGCCAGCCTCGGGACTGTCTATTTTCCCGTTGGCTCGCCCGAGAATGTGACGAATCGGGCGGCAGGAATGACGTCGACGATGGCCAGCGTGCGGTCGGTGCGGTGAACAGCTTAGCTTGATGGCAGGCAATCTGGCGCAGTGCCGGTACCGCCGCGCCGCCTCAATCGGCCGCCAGGCACAGCACAGTATTTTGCATCGGATCTTCTGGGAGAGCGTTTAGCATTCACAATATACCACGCCCGGACTCTGCATGTGACCGGTTCAGCTGCGACAGAGATTCATTCAAGGCTCAGACCGATTCCTGATGGATTCCACGGCGAATGAAGCGGCGCTCCGAAATGTAAAAACAAACCAATGACTTCCCGAGAGTCGCAAAAGAACTCTTCTATTCGAAAAACGAGAACAATCTTTGCTGGGGCTGGGTCGCGAATTCCGACGCTGATTGGGCTGAGTGAAATCGAAATGGATTTTTATAAGACAAAGACAATTATTGGCGAGTCTCATTAGGTGCCGTCGAGGTCGAATATTGGCCGGTAGGTCTCGCGAGTCGATGCCGAGGGGATCTCAATCGCAGAATCAGGTTCGATCCGAGATCGAGCGAAGGAAGCAGTCCTTCCCTTAGCTATTTAGGCTCATCAGCGAGATGGGTGAAATCTCATTGGGCAGGTCATTAGTTTTTGTATTAGGTTGATCAGGGGATCGGGGCGGTCGCCGCGGTCGTAACGATGGAGTGTCGGCAGCAGAGTCCCCATGTAATTACTTTTTTGATTCGAGAGAGCTCAGAGCACACTTGACGCATTGGTTCGGTTTTGACTGGATGCCGATTTACCGTACAGGAGAAAGGCAGAAGGCCGCTCAAGTAATGACGAGAGTGAACGGTCAGTGGGACGGAACATCCAGCGATTTCCCGTTTCTCATGGTATTGGACTCCATAGGCCCTAGACCGCCGTGGTCGTGGCCCTCGTAACCCGAGGTCCGTCTCGATCGAGTTGACATCTGCCTCACGGCTCCGGACGACTTCCTCCGCCAACCTGTCCTCCGGAAAATTCACCTCGACGTCGACGATGACATGTTCGACAGTCCTCTCAATCTTCTTGGCCGGGTGGGGTAATGGGTACAGGACTCAACGCTCAACATAGGTTCTCATGTCATCGGTCCACGGCCACCTTCATCGAGACTCCACATTGATTCTCTCGCAGAGCGACACTCTCATTCAGAACGCATTCCTTGCCGTTTCGAGTCTTGATCGTGGACTACGGCGCGCGAATTCTGAGGTTACTGACCTCGTGTGGGGTGGAGTCACTTCCTCCGCAGACGAAGTTTCTGTGGTCAGTTCTCGTCGCCAGTTATGGCAGTCATCATGCGAACCTCTCATGCCGTCATCGTTCCGCTTCCTACCGGGCGACCAGGTATCCGTATTTCCGCAGTCAGACAGCCCCGACTTCCCTCGGCGTCGCGGTCAGCTTCTCGTGAATCGAGAGCCGAAGCTCGTGACTGTTCAAGTAGGCAGCTGATCTCGGTACCCGAGCGAGAAGTCGATGCAATATTGAAACCTATATTTACAACGAATGTGCATCTTGGATTATCAACAAGCCACACTTCCGGGACTTGTTCCCGAAATATGCTGGCATGCTTCGGTATCGCGACCGTTCACATCGCGACTTCTCTTCTGGTCTCCTGACGATAGGATTCTATTCCAGATATCAATCCGAGACGATCGAGTTGAGCACGAATGGAGGAACACATATGCTTTCGCCAGCGTTTCTGCTCAAAGGCCGTCACACGGCCTCGCAAATTCCGTTGGACAGGCTCTTCCTCCCAACAGCCGTCATCGACGTATCTCACCACGTTATGAAGGACTCCAATTATCAGCTACGCATCGTCGATATCAAGAGGTAAGCTGGGAACGAAGGCTCCATTCCGGAATCCTTTGGGTCATTCACTCGAGACTTAATCTGCGGTTTATTCACCGCGCGTGCTTTTCGCGGGGGGTCTCGTGATGAATCATACCGCCCGGGTCGAGGAACTTGGGAGTCAGGCAGAGCTCCGATCGTGCGTTTCTTCATTCCTGGGTTCATGCTCTCGCCCCAGAGGAGGCTCAGACGATTCCGGTCGCTAGAGAAGGCTTCACCTCCCTTCCCCTAGCTTCTGAATCAGTCCAGAAACATCGAGAGTCAAGAGCATTCGAGGCTGATCCCAGTGGGAGGCCCTGTCAGAACTGTGAGCCGTAGCACCCATCCGAGTCCCCGAACGAACTCGAACACACGCTCTAAAGCCACAACTGCCCCTCCAAGACTGCCGACGCTCTTTCAATATTATCGACACCGATTTCCCGCAACTGTCACGTGTTTTCTTCGGCGATCCAGCTTGACGTCAGGAGCTCTGAGTCCGGGATCGCTCGGTGGGCTGAAAAAGTCGCGTTTCCCATCGGAAATGAAACCCGGACCGAGGTGAACGTTTCCCGGAGGATGATCCTCATCTGTTCGTGGTAGAAGAAATATTCGAATTCGATCGAGACGCGAAGACGCATCCACTCCTGTAGAGGCAGGACCGTGCCGAGAGTTGGGGGGACTGCTCTCCTGAATGCGAGGCAGCAGTCACTTTATGCAGATTCGCTCCATTGGTCGAGGAGATAATGCCGCGTTGGAGATTCGCGTTCCGGGAAACGTTTGTCATCCGGAGCGGTCCTCGACCGGAAACCTCCTTGTGAACCCGCCATAGGTATCAGTGGCTATAGATCCGAAGGAGAATGCGTCCATCAGCGAATCAAAGCGAGAAGTGTGGTATGCGTTCGAGTACTCCGACGCGCCAGAGGAAAATCGTTAACGTACGAGGTGCTTGTAAACGTCTCACATTCGAGCGAAGGGCGTCTGTAACCCGATGCATGACCGGCTTGTTGGCCGTCTTCCTCGGCCAGACCGGTGGTCGACGGCGCGGCTGGCCTGCCTGCCCGCTTTTATCAATGGCGACGTCCTGAATGCATTAGGCTGCGAAGTGAGTCCTCGCTGGGAAGATCAGAACAACGATATGTATAGTAGGCCATCGGACGAATTTAGGAGGAAGACACGCATCGCTGGGAGTGTATGTATGTGTGCATCTATCTACGTATGGTCATCGAGTGGAGTCGACGGAGCTCACCACGGACAGGAGGAAAAAACTGAAGACTACGTCTCCTCCTCGTTTTCCACCATTTCGCAGCTCATTTCGGCGCCGCTGCGGCGCCGGCGGTCCCTGGTCGTTCCAGTCCTCAGAGCACTTTCGTGCGATCATAACGATGATCGTCGTGCTCATCGCCCCGATTCGGAGAGGGCACTTTCTACCGCAGAGTGGTCGGTTAATCGAGGGACCAATCAGGAAAAACACTTCATCGATCGATCCGCCACCGCTTGACTCTTGCTGGTTGGACGCTGATGCCGCTCCCTCCACCGGAGTCATCGTCCTGGACAAGCTCAGGGAGGAGGATGCGCGGGCCTACAACATCCCGATAGAGCAATCAATCCTGTTGAACTCCCTGATACTCGACGACGTCGCTCGAGGCCCTTGTTCACTTCACTTGAGCACGTATCGAATCCGCTTGTCGTACTCAACGTGTCCGGCTCGACCACGTTCGGCACGGAGAACTATCTTTCGTCATATTCCCTGGATCCGAACCTGAACCATTGACGAGAGTTGCTTCCTCCCGAGCGGAAGTTCTCCGACGCGTCGGTCTGAGGTTATTGCTGCGCGAAGGGGCCAGTGAGCAGAATTTCGATGCTCTTCCGTCGATGAAAAAAAAACGCGGCGGATCGGGGACTTCCTCCCAGCAGCCAGAATCCTGGCGCCAGGTCGAGCAGATCTCACTCGGAGCGACTGTCGCTCTCTCGAACGTGGAACTGTCTCTCTGATACATAAGTATACGTCACGTCGTCTGAATCGTCAACCGATGTGAAAAGAGATTCTATCAGACGAATGCGTCTGAGGAACTCGTAAATCTTGCCCCGGCTTCGCGGGATCAGTAAGCCTTCTCGATGAGCCCTCCGGCACTAACTGAGATAAGATCGTCTTCTCCTCTCTGTCTCGCTCAGGGCTAGAATTTCAATGGCGACGCTTGTCGGCAGTCTGACTGTTCGATAAGGCATGTTAGCGACGATCGGTGAGCTGCCCTCCGCGGCATTCCATAAACGTCCGATCGGAAAAAGACCCCGTCCTCCTGGCAGCAGTTCTTGAATCGGAAAATCAGGACTGGTGCATATCCCTCGTCTCTCGCAAAAGAGAAGCCGTGCCTCGACTTCAAAGCTCTTTTGGGACTTCATCTGAAACAAAGTTCTCTAGAAAACTGGAAGTTTTCTTTCTCTGACGATACACATGCAGATACAATCTGCTTGTAGGCTGATCCTCTGGAGATCGCGAGACACGCATTTGCGTTTCTTTGCTCGAAGTAGCTACTCTCTGTGCTCAGCTACTGTCGGACTGGATTCAGAGCCCCGCTCGGGAACGAGGTGCAGTGATATCTACAGTAGGCGATGCCTTCAAGGAACCGACAGCAGGAGCGAAGTTTTCCTGGCAAGCATCAAGTCCACGCCTACTGGAAAATGCGCAACGTGGATCGCGATATGCCTCTGCGGGAAATTCCTACGCATGCTGTGTCGAATTGATTTCTGCGAAATTCCAGCGAAGTAGCTGAGCACCTTGATCCACCAAAGGGTGTACGAAAAATGGAAATGAAATCCCCGACTCGATCGTTGGTGCTCTCGGTACGCCGGCTCACGCATTGATGGACTGTTCATAGTGTTGGTACCCGACGATCGAGCGAAAATTTGGACATCTGCATTTTCTTGTCGCTCACCGTCTCTCCTTCCATTGCAGGTGGGAGGATATCCACGGACAGTTGCCTCAGGGTGGACTCCTCGCTGTGAACACTGGTTGGGGCAAGCGCTTCTGGGGGGATACGGACAAATATTTCGGGACCGATAAGGAGAATCGAAAGGTGAGTTAGCACGGAGGCTCTTCCATCGCTCCGAACATCGACCATACGACCGGATTCGGCATAGGAATTGAAATATTCGCAGGAAAAAAACTGCAACTACCCCGGCGTTCATCCAGATGCCGCACAGTGGCTCGTTTCGTATCGAAAACTGCACGCAGTCGGCATCGATTCCCCGTCGTTGGATCATGGGCTTTCGAAAAAGTTCGAGTCGCAACAAATACTCCTCAGCGCGAATATCTATCTTATCAACAATATCGATCATATTTGGGCATTGCCGCCTGCCGGCGCGACGACCTTCGTGTTCCCAATGAAAGTCAAGGGTGCTGCAGTCGTCCCCATTCGCCTCATGGCTCTGAGTCCCTGACCGAAACGGATGCGTTCGAACGAATTCCCACAAACTCGGATTCCCGCCGGCGACAGCTCCACTCGAAAGGCAACTATGCTCGTCGGATCGACCAATCATCGGCGTTCGGAGAGGAGGCGGCGATGAATCCGCTTCACGCGCCGATTAAGCCCTTGAATTGTAAATTTCAATCAAACTCATGCCACCGAGCCCGAGAAGCTCGGCTGAATTTGCGTTGGTGTAATGGAGGAAACAATAAATTTCCTCCTCGGAAATGTAATCACAGCTTCTCACTGACGCCTGGGAAATCTCTGATAGAGAGTTTCCACGGAGCCCGGAATCCCAGGATTTCCGCTGAGCCCGGAATCTCAGGAGTGGTCGGAAGGTTTCTATTTCTGGTATTCCCTCCCTAGCTCTCAGCGTGAAATAATAGTCTCCATGCCCCTGCGAGAGACGGCCGATCATGTTCTGCGAAACGTAACGAGGTCTCGCTCCCGTCGCTGCCTCCGATCTGTACGAAGATCGATATATCCGAGAGCGGAACGTCAATCATGACATTGCTATCAAGCTTGAGCTGCCAACTGTAACGTTGGAGCTTGTGCTCGGAAACCGACTGCGACGACAATACGACGCCTGTACGACGCGATGGGAGCTGCAAACACTGGCTCATGTATTCTTTGCGCCAAGTACGAGGGAGTCGAGGACCATCTCGAAATGAGTCTGATCACTGAAATTCGTTCCGAGCGGGGATCGGAAGCAGAAAATTAATCATCGAGATGGAAAAGCATGGCCTTATCATTTCGGAAGCTGCCGTGGCACTGGAGGATTGTTGGCTCCGAAAAAGAGTTGAGAAAGAGGCGATGAAGAGGAGAGTCTGAGCTGGAGATAGACGAGAAGACAATCGAGCTGAGTACGAAAATCCTTGGCAGAATCTTCTACTCGAGTCAAGCCGTTTAGTACGTACAAAATCGGAAGGTGTGTAATCGATTCCTCATGGAACGTCTCTTCCTCAAGCTCTTCAATCACAGATCCAGCCGCGGGGAGAAGCGCTTGAAGCTGCGAAATCGGAGCAAGGCATTCGAAAGCTCAACTTTCGCAAGTTAAGGCCGCGAGCGGCCGGAATCGAACTCGCTGCTCGGCTTCGAAATTAGTAATGAACGGAGCTCCCCGAATGGAAGAGCTCTCGCGTTCTGCGGGTGAGATTTACATTTTTCAAGTTCGCTCTGGCCGAGTTGGCGGTCAATGCCCAACTCCTATTCCCGAAATCCACAGTTGGGAAAGAGATGGGGGTGGATCCATACAATTAGGCGAAACAAATGCTCGCCAAGCCATAATGCATGCCTGATTTACGGTTGGGGAGAGATCTCGTAGCTTCCGGCCCGGTCGGCGGAACGGCTGCAAGCTTCGAAGGAACTCCTTTCGAGTTACGATTCCACTGCCGCTCCGGCTCGATCTGGGAAGCGTCATGGCAGAGACCCTAATTCCGACACGACGCGCGACGGTGCAGCGTGCAAAGGCAAATTAGCAAGATGACTCTTCTCCCCATTGAATGCTTGATCGAGTGTGTCAACTCGGAGTGCTCATGTTTCCGGAAATCTTCGACGCGGTGTTTCTGGAGTTAGCGTCGATGACTGCCAATCATTCTGACTCCAGAGGCGCTCGAATGTGAATTTTCGAAACAGGAGATGGTCAAGAAGCCTGCAGTTCGGATGCGCAGTGATCCATTCACTCGACAAGGGCGCCCATCTGGAATCTCAGACTTCGCGAAAATTGGGCTCAGAATAGATTGCCTCATTGAGGATGAGCGAGGATTCGACACACGAACGTCTCTGTGCCGAACCGGTCTGCGAAATCACACGCCATAGATTTCAGGATTCCCTGGATATCTCCTGATTTGGGAATTAGGAATTCGGCTCCTGCTCGTTTTCCGGTCGTCCTTCGAGAAGCTTCTACTCCCGACGCGCAGGTCCGTGATATTCTAATCTCGCGTACGAGTCTCGTTGTGCTCTTTTGATAAAAAATAAGCAACGCGTAGAGAATAGAGATGGAACTCTTAGACGCTTCTTTGATTCACAATCCATGTTTTGCTCGCTCGCTCTTTCTCGTGAAGGAGTCGGGCATGACATTGCTTCGGGAATCTCGCCTTGCGACAAGAGTGGAGACATGAGTCCCGACGGCAAGATTACGGCGGAACCCCCTGAGGGCTATGCTTCCTCTGTCGGAGCGGGCTCTCTTAGGCTCGAACAACTGTTTCAGGAGCCAGTGCGAGGGAGAATATTAAGAGGATGATGATAGAGAGAGGATTATTATTCTGCGTGCCCGAGAACAGTTCTCCGCCGTGGCGAACTCGATGTTTTTGAATGGCAAGTACATATTAGACTTTTGTCCGACGCTCGCGACGTTGAATCAAACTCCACTCATGACGGAATAACCCGCGTCAGAGCAAACGTTCAGACGCTCCACTTCGAAAAGCATGCATCGTGTAGTTTCGAGGAGTCAAGAATACCGTCATCGCTCCGATCTCTCTTCCACGTCCACCCCCGAGATTTTGATTGGAGTCTTGCTTCGCGGAATTCGCGAAAAGTCAAGTTTGGAGCAGGGAGCATCGTTTTCTCCAGACCGACGCCAGAGAGGCTCCAGGAAAAACTTCCTCTCGGCTCGTTCTCCCTTCATAGTGCTTTCATTCGGGAGGATACCTCCTTCCACACAACGCAGTGTGAGAATTGAATCAACACGAAAACTATGGCTATATCGCTGAGCTTCCCCGGAAGGACGGGCAGTGAATCATAATTTTCGCGCACCAATTCCCAGCGTATAGAACACGGATCCCTCTGAAAATGCAGCGCTGCAAGAACATAGACACGGTTACTTTAAGAGTAGAATTGCGGCAAACTGATCCTTCCACTGCTCTCGTGGACTCGTGCCTCGCGCGCCGAGCCGTCGTTCAGGATAACACTGTTGACAAACCACCGTATAATCCGATTTAGAGACCTTGGACGCTTCTGTCTATTATTGAACACTTCGCCGGCCTCGGCTCGGTCGGTCTTTCTAAGGGTTTCCCCTTTCGGGAAGTCGACGACCGGAGAGAAGCTCGTTAACTCGTTAATGGAGTTCAAGCGAACGGCAAGCCGAACCCGTCTCGAGAAGTTGACTCCGGGGCGCGAAAAACAGCTTCGAGGTAACCCGACACCTAAGGCAGCAACAATTAGGTCTGATGTATTTGTCCCGGAAGGACGACCTTCTGTCGGACGAAGCCGAGACGAAGAAAGATGGGCTTCCGCAATTAGAGCCCCACTGGAACTTCGAGATAATGACGCGGTGATCGGTCGAAATCATCTCGCCTACTTCGATTGCTTCAGGCGGCCAGAGGAACTACGCCGATTCGGATACGAGTCATGGCGGTTGGAGCGATTTTCGGTCGCGACGAACTGGACGAAACCACATTCCTCTAATCATTAGGCGATATCAGAGCGGAACATGTCAAGAACATCGACGAGGTCGCAACTTTCATCGAGAAGAATATGTGATCAACAGGCATGATCTATGGCTAGACGGAAGTTTCTGACGGCAACCGCTCCGTATAGGGGGGGAGCGCCGCGGTGGAATGGGGATTACTCTACCAAGTTCCTCATGGAAGGTCGGCGAGTTGGGAAGTGAATAATGGACGAAAATCATAGTCTCCCCGTGATAGACAGAGTTGACGAACGGGGTCCCAAGCTCGAACGGACGGTCACGATTGTCTGAAACGTCCGCAAAGATTTTCAGCCTCGGAGTATCATTCTTCCCCACAAAAGGGAAATCCGAGTCTGTTAACTCCGAGACGTCAACGTCAGCGTACATTCTCTCGAAGCCTCCTCACAGCCCACAGGCTGGATGAGGCTCGAGACAATCAAAGTCCATGCCTCTCCTCTGAGAACTCGCGCGGGGTTCTCAAGTGCAACCCTCGTAGAGTTCCGGGGCTCCGAAATTTAGAGAGGAGCCCGCTGGATATGATTCAAGTCTAATTTATCTCTCACATTCTCAGAGCTCGCAGAAGTCATCTTCTTAGAAACCGCTCATCCGATCAGGGTTGTCATCAACCGCAGCAGTGCACGCTCTCTGAGCACGGAACGCAATTTGTAGATGAGAGAGAGCTCAGTTGAAATCCTTGCTCAGGTTCAAAGCGGCGCTGTGCGTTCTCTTGTCTATGTGTCTTCTCGCATGGCGCGTTAAAGCCGGACGAAACGCAAAAACTAGACTGTTTGTGACGACGACCGCGGCTTGGAACGCGTTCCCATCATTTAGCTCATACGCGATTCAATTTCGGCGTGTGGCCACAAACGAGCGAAATCTTGTGCTCCATAATTCAAACGCTGAGCAGAAAAATGTATTCTACCTTTTGTAGCGTTGCGTTTACTGCTCGGCCGCCTCTGTTGTTCTCTCTCGACAGAGCAAGCATTTGGAGAATGAGTTTCCATGAGCCGTGCGTGGATACTCAGCGACATCCGGTTCGTCTCGGTTTCCGCTATGAGTCGACCCCTGGGCTAAGTAGAGCCTCGCCATTTGCATCGGAGGCTTCTAATTTAACGGGGTCATGAAGGAGCCACAGCACGCCATGGGCTGTCTGAAAGAAATTGCTCGGATGAGAAGCCATTGATGGGTCTGAGTTCCAAACACGGTCTCATTCGAGTCTTCCAGATATCTTGGCTTCAGATTGCCTATTCGCAATATCTTGGCTACGTAATTCTCCAGGTTGTCATCCGATCCGGTTCCCCAAAAATTACGTGCCTCGCAAAAAATCCAATGTGTTCGACAATGTGACGTAAGTCACAGTCATAAAACAAAAGTACCTGCATATCATCTAGTCATCGAAGGAACCGGACGCTGAAACGCAAGGGAGAATGGAGATATTGCATCTGGGAGGACATTCGAGCATCTCGTAGTGTCTCATTCGTCCTAAGATACCACTTGAACCAAGAGCATCCCGAGCAGAACCGTGGCGACGCTACCATTGTCATATACAATCCGTCCAGGCTGGAAACATGGTTCTCCTGGTGTACGGGTAGGATGGACCACACGTCCCGGGACGGGACTTCGAGTCGGTCGGCGAATAAGAGATCTGATCCCTTTGTAACACGCCGAGCGCGCCGACACTAGATGGGCATGGCGGAGAAGCGTGTCTTCTGGATGAGACGAATTTCCCGCTGGAAGCTGCGAGGCAAGTATTTGATTAGAATCTTATCACGTAACGGATAGCGAGTGTAGGGTTTAGCGAAGATTCGACGCACCCCCATTG